GTTGTTACCTGATTCTAGCAGCCTCACGAGGGTGAAAACAAGATCAGAAAAAGTTTGTTTTATAAGAAACAATTTCATGATAGTATATCCCTTTGTCAAATTAGCAGGTCTGCAGAAATTGCAGGGCTTACCTGAGATTTTTACTAGATGTTCGTTGTTCAGCTGCTTTGATTAAATTAGTCATTTTTCTGTGAAAGTTATGGAAATAATTGAGTGAGACTGTCTTAGCTGCTAGAAAGCAGCCTTTTCTTTCTGCCACTCACACAGGCCCAATCATCCAGAGTTGACACTGATATGTCTTCCAAGTATTGCGAATACCGTTCTATAATAGCTGGAACCTGTAAATGTCGAATAGAACAAAGTAAATGGTATGTCGAACAGAACAAAGTAAATGATAGTCCACCGCAAGTAGATATTGTCTATTTTGACCTGTTATGTATTATTGTTAACCTCGATTTTAAAATGAGTTTAATATGGATAAATGTTCACACCCTTATAAGAAATCTTTCGTTCCAATCGATATGAGATCTCACAATCCACCCCCTTAGGGGCTCAGTGTCTTCACTGGCACATCGCCTGGTGTCTGACTCGGATACCAATTATAACAACCCAAGCCCACCGCCAGTAGATATTGTCTACTTTGGCCTGTTATGTATCGTCATCAGTCTCATTTTTAAAACGTGTCTACTATGGAGAGGTTTCCACATCCTTATAAAAAATGCTTTGTTCCCCTCTCCAACCGACGTGAGGTCTCACACATACTGATTTCATAGACGGGAAAAAAGAAAAAAATCATTAACCCAGTATTAACTATTAACCTACCCAGTAGAAAAGAATATTTTCACATCAAGACAGTTGGATGGGAACCCTCAATCAAATTGGCAGTTTCTGACATTTGGTTTTTCTAGCTTAGAACAGATGAAAAACTATGAACATACTGGATTAGCACTTTGCCAAGCTAAAATTTGTACTCTGACCAATGGACATGGTCCCAGAACATACCTGCTCGGATAGAATACCAGAGAGACCAACGACTGCCTCAGGTTTGGCGTAAGAGACAACATGATCAGCCAAATCCAGCAGAGGATTTAGAAGAATATTAGCAATGACGATGTCAAAGTTCTCCTTTCCAGATATAAATGTTTCACTAAATTTATACTCTGCAATATCACTAGGAACCAAATGAAGTTGCAACTTTTCGGGTTCTATACTGTTCAGAGCAGCATTGTTCTGTGCAGATTCAATGGCTTTCGGGTCTACATCAATTCCAGTAGATAAGGCAGCCCCAAACTGCAATTGCAAGCGTATATCAAGCTAAATAATGAAAATATCAAGTCGCATGCAGAGAAATATAACAGCTCTAGAGGGTGTGTCTAGATGTGTACGGTCATGAATACATGCATCAAAATGTGAACCAGCTCAGGGTTAACCTCTGGCTAATTAGATGAATAACACCATTTTCTACCAAGTGTTCAATATCACCAAAAGGCAGTACTGTAGCCCCATCTTTTGCAATCAATCACTCAGCTCCAGCAGAAACCCATTGCTCAAAAAGGGCCAGGGTTTGGGCGAACTTTGGTCCGAACTCTAGAAAGGAGAAATTTGTACCCAAGTGTCGAGACAAGCTCTGGAAAGGACGAACCTTAAGTTTCTAACTCTCCAAAGCTCTAACAGATCAAAGTTAGGATGAAAGCCACGATAGCCACCGTTTCAGAACACTCGAGGAGAATTCTAGAGAATCACTCATAGAGCTTGGGAACCTAAAACCAAGAATCCCTTCTTCATGGCAGGTCATTGGCTAAAAATGATAGAAGGAGGCCAACATGGGAATTCTATAGGTACATAGATTTATTCACTAACAATCTTCTTTTAAAGAACGCCATGAAGAGCACATATGGTATTGGTATATATGTTAATAATGTTGTATGAGAGTCTCAGACCTCATTGAAGTATGAGCTTGGTGGAAATATTTTGGACATTGTACCTTGAGTGATGCAATTGCAAGAACGCCAGATCCGGTGCCATAGTCCAAGAAATATTCCCCTCCTTTCACTAAGCTGTGGAGCAGTAGTAGACACAACTTTGTAGTTGGGTGTTCCCCTGTTCCAAATGCCAATCCAGGATGTAGAATAATATTTGTCGCATGGACATCCTGTACAAATAAAGGAATGTGTAAATTCTATCCTAAACAAGATGATATTACATGTACCCTCCCCGCCCCTAATATGAACCATGAAACAAACTATATGTATAGACAAGTGTAGAAAGCTTTGCTGAGATCATTATACCGGGGGAGTTGTCCACTCGGGCACTATCCAAAGTCCCTCAGTAACCTTAACTGGATGAAATGATTCCTGCAATGCAAGACAACAATTGTGTTTAAGAGGTAAATAAATTTGGAATGTGGAGCTTGTGTTAACAATGAACAGACAGGTTAAAAACAAACCTGGGATTTCTTTAACCAATCATGTTGTTCACCAATTGTAACTTCGTAGGAAGGTAACTCCTTCAAGCCTACAGAATCAGTCGCATATGAGATGCATTTACTGACATCTTGACCATCAGGGAATATTGTGTCTACATATATCTGAACAAAGCATATTAGTCATTATATTTTAGCCGTCGGGAACAAAGTATGAACATATTATATCTGCCATAGTAATTTATGTTTTCTACATATCCACTCCTAACTACAAACATAGCATCCTTATCATCATCACATGGATAAGAAAAGGCATAGAGTTGGGACCGGACTGCAAGAGCCCAAGCCCACCGCTAGTAGATATTGTCCTCTTTAGGCTTTCCCTTTCGGGTTTCCCCTCAAGGTTTTTAAAATGCATTTTCTAGGGAGAGGTTTCTACACTCTTATAAAAAATGTTTTATTCTCCTCTTCAACCGATATGGGATCTAACAATCCACCCCCCTTCGAGGCCAACGTCCTTACTGACACTCGTTCCCTTCTCCAAGGGATGTGGGACCCCCAATCCACCTCCTTTGGGGCCAGCGTCCTTGCTGGCACAATGCCTAGTGTCCACCCCTTTCGGTGTTCAGCCTCCTCGTTGGCATATCGGTCCATGTTTGGCTCTGATACCATTTGTAACAGCCCAAACCCACCGCTAATAGATATTTTCCTGTTTGGATTTTCCCTTTTGGGCTTCCCTCAAGGTTTTTAAAACGCATCTGCTAGGGAGAGGTTTCCACATCCTTGTAAAGAATGTTTCATTCTCCTCTCCAACCGATGTGAGATCTCACATTGACTGTAACTTTAAAGGGTTTATCTAGAAAGGAATTAAAGAGCATATTAAAGTTATCAGATGCAGCCTCAATCAATTACAGGCAATCCAGTACAAATTTACTGAACTGTGTCCAGAAATCTTCTCATAATCAGGTGTCACTAAGGTGCAATGGAACCAGTGATAGTAATGAAGATTGTAAAGCATTACAAATCAAAATTAGAGGGAAAGAAAGGATAAGAAAGCCACCTCGTGAGAGCTACCAGATACATCGTCTTCATCAACACAAGTAGAGCTCGCACCAAAACTCAGCAGAGCTTCTGAAAGCAAATCCTGCCCAACAGAAAAACAAAGATACCACAAAGTTTCCTCTTTAGATCAAGTAGATGAAGCTTTAATTGCTCCAGCAATCCTGCAAGCTCCCATTCGTTCTACCTTTCTAGTAATTATGTTCTGCAATATGACTAATCCATCCAAGTTCTAGTTGAATTTCTCTAAACTGAAAGTGCTTCAATTCTCATAAAAAAAATTAAATCAAAACAAAATCATCGATACCCTCGATTAGTTCAGCACCCAAAACACTAAGGCCACAATGAAACAAACAAAATCGAAGCCGGAATTGAATCTCACCACGATATCTTTCCGGCACCGGATGCGAACAGATAGATACTTCTCAGATGTGTAATCGGAAGAGGAAAGGGAGGAGGAAGAAGAAGATAAATGTGTAATAAGTGAAGAGGAAGTTAGGAGCTGTGTTCTTTTATGAATGGTGGAAGAGAAGGGGGAAGAAATAGCACGAGAGAAAGGAAATATGGGAATGCGAATGCCTGAGGCGATACAGTGGGAAAAGTTCTTGACGTATTTTCCGGCGGTGACCGCCATTGATTTGGTCTCTTTGCTGCTCTGGTTTTGGAGGTAAAAGATGAACGGCCACCGTCTCCGCTTCACTTGTAAAATGTAATCCACCGGAGGTTTTGGTTTCCGCTCTTTTGCAGAATATGTGCGCTATATATATATATATATTTTTTTATTTTTTTTTTCATTAAATTTTTTAATTTTTCAATAATAACCTTCTAAAAAAATATCATTAAACTATAAATAAAATAAAAGTTTAGATTTGTACTCTAATACTCATTGTTTGGGATGATAGATTCGATTATTGGTTCATGATAGTAGTGTAGCTTATCCGCATCTCATCTTGCTTTAGTCTCAACTAGGATGTCTTACACTCGTTGCAACTAGCTTTCATCGAGCAATATTGAGAATGTGACTAATCCAATGTTAGAAATCATAACTCTCCACAATAGTACGATACTGACTACTTTGCAGCATAAGCTCTCATGACGTTGTACTTATAAACTCATGATTTTCCTTTTAATTAGTTGATGTGAGACTATTTTCAATATTCCTCAACATCCAACACATTTCATCATGGAATTGATCAATCTCTTACAAAAAAAACCCATCTTTACCATAACATGACTAAAATGCTCCACTAAATTTGATTAAAAGGTTTGTTCATATCAAGTTAAGCTACCAAATTAACATTTATCGTTCAAGAATATAGAGACATTCAATCTCAGTGTATTCAAGACTTTTCTCAAGACTCTTTTCGAACAATGCAATATTATTGCTCTCGATAACAAACGCGTTTGGAGAATGGATGGATTATGGATGGATTATGTTCATAGGATCACATAAATGAAATAAAAATTAAACACCCTAAAAAGAAAGAACAAATTTGTTTTTTTTGGGTCAAAAGAACCCAATTGCCCGGAGTCCGGGCCCGCCGGGAACCGATTGGCGGGAGGGAGGATAAAGCATCACCCGCCTCCATCGCTCTGCAACAAAATAAAACAACAATCTTCAACCATTATATATGACCCTTTTGTCTCTTCTTCTGATCCCAAATCCGTGTTTTTTGTTATTGTGATCAGGAATGAGTTTCTCATCCAATCCACTCTCCCTTAGCGTTCCGGACGCCGCCTTCGATTCATGGCTTCGCGATTCCGGCTACCTCGAGATTCTCGATCAACGCACCTCCGACCTCCACCGCCATTCCTCCGCCACTGCAGCCACTGCCCCCACCAGACCCACCCCCACCGCCGTCGCTCCTTTAGCCACAGGTTTCTTCATCTCCTTCTTCTCTCGTATCGGAACCCTTCTCTCCGTTTTCACTCTTAACCCCTTTGCCAAGCTCTCTGCTGCTGATTTTGCCGGCCCGACCCCCTCCTGGACTTCCGGATTTGTTGGGTTTTTTGAATCGTACTCGTTTCCTTCCTCGCCGGCTCAAGCTCGTCTCAGAGTCCACGAGAACGCCAAACGCTATGCTCGCAATTACGCATCCTTATTTGTTCTCTTTTTTGTCTGCACGCTGTATGTTCATCTCGTACTCTCCTTCGTTATTTGTGTTTCCCATTTATTTGGAAGGAATGAACATAGAATTGTTGGGTAGAGAAGAGATTTATGGCAATTTCCCGACCTTTATTTTACCAAATTCTTCCTGATGTTTATGTTCTGTAGTGGATGATTGCAGGTACCAGATGCCTCTTGCTCTCCTCGGATTAGTATCATGTTTAGCACTTTGGGACATTGTTAAATTTTGTGGTGATAGATGGGCATTGGACAAATATCCAGTTGTTTGGCAGTGTTTGGTTCGCATTGCTCAATGTGGTAAGTTATTGACGATTTAAAACTGTGTTTATTTGCACACCTGAGATGTTCTTCCCGAGTCTTCTCCTTAAACATGTCTTGATTAGTTGGTAATCTTTTTCATTGCTGCTTGATGAATGGTTAGTGTTTGTCTGTTCTACTTGGTTGAGATTACAAGCTCTAAGGCTATCGTTTTCTCGATTCAAGATGACCGAGAACTTTAGCTCGGTTGTCCTGACTTCTTGAAATGGAGCCAAGGCCATGTTTTTTGTCGTGTGTGTACTGCAAGTGTAATAGCTCAGCCCACTGCTAGTAGGTATGGTTATCTTTGAGCTTTTTCTTTTAGGTTTTCCCTCAAGGTTTTTAAAACATGTCTGCTAGGGAGAGATTTCCACACCCTTATAAAGAATACTCTGTTTCCTTCTCCAACCGATGTGGGATCTCACAATCCACCCCCTCTCGAGACTCAGTGTCCTCGCTAGCACACTACCGAATGTCCACCTCCCCTTTGGGGCTCAGCTTCCTCGCTGGCACACTACTTGGTGTATGACTCTGATACCATTTGTAACAGCTCAAGCCCACTGCTAGTAAATACTGTCTTCTTTGAGCTTTTCCTTTCGGACTTCCCTTTAAGGTTTTCAAAAACACGTCTACTAGGGTGAGGTTTCCACACTCTTATAAAGAATGCTCCTCTCCAACCGATGTGCGATCTCACATGTTTGATCCTCGAAAATTTTTACGTAGTACTACAAATTGCTATTTGGAACCTTTGGGGTTCTTTGTTTTGTTGGATCCTGCTGCATGCATTTATCAATCAATTCCTTGTTAATTACCATGCTCAAGATCACAATCATTTGAACTGCTATTGTTAGTTAATTACCTAGTAATCTTTTTTACCCCATTCTTTCTTCCAAATACTTAAACAAATATAATGTTTTGCAGTGACTGTCATCATCCTTTTATTTTCCAACTTTCAAATGGCAATCTTCTGTGCACTTGGCGTTGGATATACAGGTGACTACACAACATTTCTGGCGTTGGATATACCAGTTGTTCTAATCGTTTGATATCTCGACAGGCATGATTTTGCACGCTGCATTTCGGAAGCTAACTCTCACGAGGCCCCCGTCTTCCATAAATCGAAAATAGCCCGTTACAGGTACGATATTTATACACTCTACGTAATTATGTTCGAGCAAGGTACCATCATCTGATTCTGTGATAAGCCTGAAAAGTGCTGGTAATGCTGATTGCTTGAAAGCAGTCCTGCAGAGGGCACCTTGCCCTTGCCGTAAAATTCATGTTATGGCATGGGGATCTCTGACCATCCTATTGCCTAAGAGTTACATGGTTTCATCTTCCTGTGTTAGAGGGTAGACCCAAGTTTCAAGTCAAGCTCAAATCATGTTTTAGTTAGTTTATTCACTTATTTGTTGAATTTATGTATGGTTAGTTTGTAGGTTATACTATTATTACATGAAATTTTGTTCTAGCTAATGACTTGTACTACAAATTTTGTATTAATGAGGGTTCATCAGAATTTAGATGAAGGAGAAAGCTCTAATTTTTCATGTAATATCATTGAAAACCTCAAGTTTCTGTCCTGGTTGCTTGTTAATTGTTTAGTTTGCTGCTCCTTTTGTTAAAAGAGGGCTATGATGCAGAAGAATATGCTGCATTGTGGGAGTGTTGAACAATTTGAGCATTTTCCCTTCCTTCATTGAATCTCACGTTACTTTAAAGGCAACTCTTACCAGGTTTGTGATTTTGGAAGTCTTCTGATCTTTAGTTGAATAGTTATGGCGATGCTGCAGGACAACTAGAGGCATATAACTGTGACATGACATCAATTTCAATTGTAAGGATTAGGTTAGACACGGATTTAAGATTAAAGCCTCTCTCTCCTTTTTGCTTGCGGGGGACGACTGAGCTTCCTAGATCCGCATCAGCGGGCGAGAGGACACATACCTCCCTCATATTCTTTAAATGGGCAAGACTCGGATACTGCATGCGAGAAGTAGAATAGTTTACTGAACAACGACTTAGATTGTTGTGTAATGCTCTTGATATAAAAAACAAGTTTCTTGTCAAACATCTCACAAGATATGAAGATTAATCTTATTTGAATGTTCTTAGCTCGCAACTCAGTTCATGGAATTATTAGAGTTCAAATCAGAAGGAGAGTTCGAAAAAATTGGTCATATCGACACTTGGAGTGATGGGGTTCACTTGGAGTGATGGGGTTCATGCCTAGGCAAATACAACCATTAACACTAGACAACATATGAAGTAAGATTTCAAGAGTCTGATTAAGTTGTTGAAATATGATAATTTGTTTTATCCAAGTACATTTCCTTAATAATTACATTCATTCAAAGACTAAAGTTCATCCCACTCTACATTTAAAACAATTAAAAATAATTTGTGATTTAGTGTTGTGCATATTTAAATGGCATCCCAAAGTTCGTTGTTCTTTACTCGTTATGAAAATAGTAGTAGCACCAACACTATTGATGTGCAAATATGCTTCGACATTCAAGTTACATCCACAAACTAGTTCGAGCATTTGTCAATAGATATGACACAACTTTTCATACTAAAGAACGATAGTTTGATCTTTGAACGATAGTTTGAGCATTCGGCAATTATTCATCAATCTCAGGTTTTAATAATATAACAAATGTGAATGCAATGAATCCCAAGCACCCGTATACAAAGAAATGCTGCTAGCAAAACAAAAATTTCATATGGAAAAATCACAATTAATAAATAATACACCGTTTCTTACAGCGACGTATGTACATCAACTCAAATAATGCAGTGTCAAGAATAAAAAATATCAAACAAATACACACAAGTTTTCTCCCTTTTAAGCTGGACTCAGATCCCTCGACACCTGACCTTGCCATCTGATCAACAAACCAAAGCAATTAAGCTTAACAATGCATCACGTCCGCCCTTGAAGAATTTACCGAAAAAGAAATGATCCTTCTAACTTTCATGCTTATTTTGTTTTAATCCTAACACTTTCAGTTCTTAAACTCCACGGTAACTTAAATTCATATAAAAACTTTGGAGATTCATGTTTCTGTAACTTGTTTAAACAGATATAAACAAAGGTTTTATCTCACCTCATGTTTCTAGAATTTCTCAAGTTTTATAAACAAGTGCATGAACATAGACGAGGAGGCTAAAAGAGATGGGTGATGGATGAGCTGAAGATTCCCTAGTCAAATTTAACTATCTTAAAACAAACCTGGAGAGTAAAAATCTAGCAAGCGAGCTCAAATTAGAATTTGAATGAAGTTCCCTGTTCGGTTGCTTTTTGCTGCTATCAGAATCCGTGACATTTTGTGCAACTTCAGGAACTGTCTTTGCCTTGGTGAATATGCGAGTTGCCAAGTCTTGTAAATCCTTCAGTGAAGATTCCTCCGAACTGCATAGACGTTTCTTTGAGTTTGAAAGTTAAGGGAGTAAATTAGAAAAGTAAAAGAACAAACATACCTGGCCAATTTCTGGAGCAACTTGGTAACAAGAACCTCACATGATCCAGGTTTTCGGTGTTCCATACTTATAAGAGCATTAATTACAGTACGGGCAGGCGATCCTTCCGAATCATCTACAACTACCTGAGATGACAATGTGTAGAGTAGGTTGCACTATTGGTACATATGAACTAAGAAAACACGTCATTGAATAAATAGAAAAATATCGTGCATGTTGGTTATCATGAAAGGCCTATCTGGAGATGAGAATATTGAGAGGCCAATGGATAAGGAGATGAAAGAAGAGAATGAATCCAAGTTGAATAAGTACCTAGTCATGAAGTCAGTTATAGCAAGTGGGGTAAAGAGTAAAATGAGCAAGTTTGTTAAAACATGGGATAATCAATTGTTGAGAAAATAAATAAAAATAGGAGGAAAATGAGACTGAGATGGGAGATTCGAATAAGAAATGACTAACAGTCGAGAGATTCGAGACACAAATTTCCCAATAAGCATTTTGTTTCTCTTTTTGTTGGAAGTAAAACTAATTTAGAGTATGGAATCTCTGTAGACAAAGGATTGGTCAACCAACAGGAAAGAGAGAAATATAAGGTAAGCTTTAGCAATTCCCACATCCTAATATAAATGGATAAAACAGAGACCGAAAGAGCATAACAAGATGGAAACACTTCACAAAAGTACCATGCAGCTGTAGCAGGTACCTTTAATGCAGACAAATTATTAGATCACTGGACTTACAAACTGAAATCGGCTTCAAACGTACCTCTTTCAAGGATGACATAAACAAAACTGCTAATGGTGCAGAAGATGACACTACTTTTCTACTTTCTTCATCGTCAATCGGTAGAGATGGTTTTGCCAATGCTTTTGGTGCATCAAAGAATTCACGAGAATGCCTGGAGAAATTATCGATATCAGGCAGCAGTCTGACATTCTGTGGAGAAAAAATTTATTCTGGCAATTATTAAGATGTACCTTGAAGAGTCAGAGCTACTCACTGTTTGCTCTGTTTTCCTATTCTCCTGCCTGTCGTTGCGTTTAGTGAGAGCTGGTCTATCCCTTACATTAGATTTCTTCAATCCTGCTTGAATTGCAGCCTTTGCCTACAATCATCACATTGAACATGCCCAGTAATTGCACAGCACTAGAGCATATTTTGATTTGCGGTAGTAGGAACAAACGAATTGTTATATTGTAGGAGATATCTAACAAAAAAAATTATTTTGTAGGAGATACATTTAGATTCTATTATAAAACAAAAATGCTAAATAAAATGAGTGCAATCCAAACTTCTACAAAAGAACTAAAAAGTGTATTTAAAAAGAGAAGATGCTGTCATGTTTAAATCTAACCTCCACCAATCTGCCCTCCCAGGATAACAAAAGAATACTCATGCCAGTCTAAAAAATGCATGTTCCCGACTTGACTTTAAAATAAGTAGCAATATAATAAAACCAATAGTAACTGCTACTTGAATCACGATAAGAACATGAATCAGAAGACTTAACAGCAACCAACCTCCGCAAGGTTTGATGCACTATCTTCAGGAGGCAAACTTGAATTCCTTTCTTGTATTCCAAATCTGGATTTTGGAGTCCGAGGAGACTCAGAACCATCCCGTTGACCACGCATAACAACAGTACCACCATAAGATGTGTCCTCAAAATATGCTTGTATGCTTCCAGACTGCATTGCATCATTGATTTCATAAACAAATAAGCATAGAAAAGCTCAAAACAATCAAGAGCATCACTAAATAAGATAATTCTACCGGATTGCTTCCATTATGAAATTGAGTAGATGCTTGAGGTCCTCTGGGAGACCGGACCACAGTGGTTCCTGTACCGCTAACAGATAACTCTTCCTGGACATTGCCCATTGAAAAAAAAAGAAAAGTTAACATTATCCACAACCAATTTTCGGGCTGTTGTAAATAGATAAATAAACAGCCATAATATTCAATTATGCCGTTATGATTATTTATTCTTTTGGCAGGTTTCCATACTAAACTTGGCTGCAATAGCAAGGATAATTAGAACTTCTGGAACAAGTGAAAGTCCATGAAGCCTTGTTATTGCAGCCAAATCTACTCTGTAAGCCTACAATTGCACAGATGATTAGATTAATTGTCAAGCTTTTTGCTCAGTTCTTCTTATTATAAAGGAGATATCATTGAAGTCAAATCCTTATGATGCACTAGTAAACTTCTGGGACAAGTGAAAGTCCTTGAAGTCACAAGTATTGTTGTCAAGCAGGCTAATTCTAATAATCTAGTTGATTGACAAACAAGCAAATGTGATTGTAAAAGCACTTGTAGCTAAGAGAAATGGAGCGAGGAGAATTTACATCTTCACTATCATCCCCCATATTGAATGAATCTTTAGCATTTTTTGCTATGTCGCGTGGTGCATTTCCAGATGCAGCTTGCCAGTGACCACTCTCTGCAACTCTACTAGGTGCAGCCTGACCATAAGGAATTTCTGGTTTTCGTTCCCTAATTTGAGGTGGTTTTACTAAACTTCGAACAGTACCTGTACTATGTGGTCCCCCAATACTAAAGTCCCATCCAGCATTCTTCGGAGCTTTACTCTGGTTGCTGCAATTTTAAGTAGTTAGAACTCAATAGCTCAATGAGTAATAGGTCGTTTCGCATTAACAACGTTCGGTGCTTTTTGCTACAGGAAACTTTGAACGTTGATTTTACCCACCTGGCACGAACAGTTTCCTCTCTTAAATTTCTTGATACTTTCACAGTGTCTGATGATTCATCTATAGTTCTAGGACCATTTGTTGGTGATTCTTCATCGTCCTTTATTTGGTACTTCGGACGTTCTCTATCAATATCAACAAATAAGATCACTGATAAATCACCTTATACAAAGACATCTTTATACTATTCAGCTTTTCCTGATTCTTCCACATAAATGTAGGAACTATGGCCAATAAATTAGGAAATTATGGAGTACAAAGTCAAAAGGTAGACCAAAATCCATATCCGTGCCTATGAACTGAGAAAAAGTAATCATAGTGATGAAAGAGAGACAAACCTTATTCTCTCCAGAAGCCTAGGACTCTTCCTGGCATTCTTAATGAATCGATGCTTCAGAAGCTCTTTGGCACTAGGTCTCTGAAATTAAAAGAGCAATAGATGCATAAAACTGATTCACAAACAAAAAGAGATATATCCGCACATCATAAAAATCGTAAATTCAAAAGGCAGGAAACATGAACAATTTGAATGCTTGCATCAAGTTTGAACAAGAGGCAATTACAGGGGAAAAAAAAATCACATAAATAGAAGAGCATGTACTTTAGATAGAACAAATAAAAGATGAGTTACCAGGAAATGAATGATCAATATAAATTCTACGAACCTGAAAAATAACCTAAGCATGCCCCAACTTTACATGCGTTTTAACAAATTCCAGGTGCTCACTTTTAAGTAGCTCCTAATTTCTTATAATGGCTCTTGAAAAAAGATAAACAAAAACAAAATCCTGTGAATCCCTACCATGATCAACCAATTGCAATATATTGACCTACCAAATAAATACTGTAGGAAAGTACCTGAAAAAACACTATACAGATGCACACTGAATCATTAATGCTCACTTTTCAGTTTTCACAGAA